TGCCGTCGGACGGCTACACGAACCCCGGATGCCTCACACGACATCGCCGCTATCCGCTATATCCGTAACACCGCCGATAATGTGATACTACACCGTCAAACGTCGAAAGCCCTTCCATTGTGTAATCTCATGCCTTTGTAGACAAGTCACAGTATAGTAAAACATCGGTCCGGCGTCCGTTTCATTCGCAGTAAGACGGCGAGCGGCGCCGAACCCACCGTCTCACTCCATCTTGATATTGCTCTACCCTCGTTATATCCGGTCAGCTCCCATTAGTCCTATCATCACTACTCTGAAACTGACATAGACTATACCTGACTAAGCCTCGCTCTTAATGGGTTTTGATTCCGCCGAATAACTAAGTGTTTCGCGTGATATTAATAACATGTATGTGCTTGCATCCACTCACCCGCGCAGCCGAGAGTATGGGGTTGAACACTGAGGGTGGGAATAGCAGAGCAAGGCATCCCTCCCGCTCCATTAACCCCACGATCTGCCAGATCTGCTAGATCTTACATGCCGAGTTCCCCTGGCCTGGGTTGATTAGTGATGTCGCTTTTGAATGAGCGATGGGTCGTCTGTTTACGAGCGGGGAATGGTCATCTTTGCCACCATAGCACACCGCCGGGCTGAGAATGAGAAGGTGCACCAAATCTGACATTCGGTTTTGGGAGGGGCTGATCCCTTAGCCAACAAATACCATCAATCGAAAGAGAGCAAAATAAAAGCCGCAAAAGCAAAGAAAGAGTGACTTGCTTTCACCTTTGCATATGTAGACCGCAAACAGGATGGCTCGTATTGGCTCAAGACCCGAGATATAGGGTAGGTAACTGGCTCGGATGTCAGTAATAGGTCCCGGCTGTTGGCTCAACGTACTTCATGTTTCTTAAGAAATATTTATCTAAGCTGCTACCACTCCAATATACTATTAGGTAACTCTTTATGTGGTACTTTCAGTGGAACTGGCGACTAGAAACACCTGCAGCTTTAGGTATAGGCGCTGTTCATCAAGATCATCATTTATCAAGTCATCTGTGAGCCTACATGCATATTGGTAGATATGGTTTGAATAGCCCGCCTTGACTTTAACTTTGCAACAGGCAGATGGCGTCTAGCCAATCATGTGCCTCAGCGTTGCTCTCAGTATTACCAAGAAAAGAAAACCTTGAGTCCCGCAGCCAAGAACTGACCCAGCCAATGCCTCGTGTACCTTTCATCGAGCTCCTCGTTTCTGAGCAATTGAAAACCTTATTTGATCGATCGAATAGCAGCTCAGAGTTCAGAGCGAAAACTGAAAAGCAAAGAAGATTTACTTTTGATCAGCTCACACGATTGTCACATACAAACTGAGTGGGGTACGGCTATATAAAAAGGAAACTGCGAGGCAGATAAAAGAGAGCCTGACTACCCTTCACCATTCCATCTCCCCTCATATGGATGACACTGGGTCATTATTGCAAACACCGCGAAGCAAAGTGGGTGAATGCCCAAAAAGCAGCTCGGTCCAAATCACTGGGGAAATGTGCAAGATTATGAAGATGGTCCCCACCTTTTTTTCCAATCTTAACGTCAATGATGAGAGACAACAGCCATGAGTATCTCCGGTTTCTCGAAGATCTAACAATACCAAAGGGCTGTATCAGTTCCTGAGACGTCTGTGATTACTTTCCACATAGCTACTCGCCATTTTTTTCAGGAATAGAAGGAGGATCAGGTCTCGTCAAGGAAAAGGGGTTGTACGCTTGGTGAGGTTTGTAGCGAGCGAGCTAGATGAGGATGAAGGATATTGAAGCGCTAAATGGAGACCCCTTTGTCGAAGTTGTTGCGGATGTGGAGTTGGCAATAGGCAGGCTCTCTTCCCATTAGCCGGGAGGAGAGGATGAAACAAGCACGCGGGTGAAGGATGTCGAATCTAGGTACACACGTTGGCTCTGGGAAGACCGTGCGATAAAGAGGACCAGATACCGAGAGAAATCAACACCAGTATAAAAAGAATCGCGAAAGTTCACATACGATGAAGTTATAGCGTAGTGAGTATACTATGGTACTAAGTCAAGCATCTTTGAACACACCCGTTATATCTGAGCATGACGAGATAAAAAGTAAACATCAAGCTCAGCGTTCTAGAGATCACCTACTATTTATGTCCGGAGACTGGCTTGGAGTACAGGCAGAGAAAGAATTTTGAGCTATTACCTGTTTGTTACATTTTCAAATTTGACACCTTCAACACGGTCTGCAACTTGACCGGATATGTGGGAAGTCGTGACAGACTAGACTGACCAACATCATCCATTTCTCGAAGAAAGAGGAAAGACACTGACTATCTGAAAGGTGCCTTGCCTCTGAGAATTTGACAGGTATACATTGCCATATACCGGCCCGACTGTTTCCCTCCTCTCTACCCAATGAACATCCCGACGAGCATCAAAGTGAAGATGTAACAGAGGCTTATTCGCCTGCAATCACGACTACAGACCACCCATTTAAGTGGCTAGACCACGGAACTAAATCCCTACCTGGTATTTCGTTATAATTTGGAGCCCGGCCGTGTTGATGATCAAGTTCCCAATGCTGCGGCTGATTCTTGAATACTGCCAAAGATGCAGACTACGACCTACCCTACATCATCCGGTACTTCTCATTCATCAGTCACCTTGCTGATATTCCATCAAGCAGGTAAAGCTACCAGCAGTGATCCTTTAAAAAATGTGCTTTTCTTTTCCGGTAATAGGTACAAATCAAGTGATTCAATTCGATAGCCAAGCGGAAATAAGTAGGTATCTTGAATTCCATTGTGGCTGACTAATTTTGCTCTATCTGCCCACACCTGCGGTACTTCTTCTTGATTCCGGGCACTCCTCGGCATTGGCGCATCCTCGATTTCCCGACTGCAATTCCATGGCATCGCTTACGACCTATAGCTATTATGGAAATATGATATGGTATCATCATTAACACTAGAGCCGTTTACACACCATTAGCGACACTGCGGACAATGCGCGAGACCTTGAGGCTGCAACGGCAGCTTCCGAGACTTCGGGTCACGGGAAGATATCGCACTTCATGTGCTCGCCAGTCGCACTTGCAGCTCGAAAGAGCGCCGATATATAGCCTCGCTACTCGATCAATATCCCATAGCCGCTCCCGTTCACGACCCTCACGACCCTTCTCGGCTCTATCATGCTCGGCCATTTCTCGGCATCGAACCTTTGCAACGGTCTCAAGCGTACAGGGCGATGGACTGGGACCATTACAAGAATATGATCGTCGTGTTGAAACGGGCGCATTGAGGAATGATGAGCACCAGAGAGGTAAACCATCACTCAACGGGACGCTTAGCTGTGCATGGAGCTGACACCAGGCCCAGGTATAATCGAGAACCTCCAGCATCTCCACGACGAATTGCGGAACTACCATGCGACGCCCGTGCAGCGCCCAAGCCTAGAGCTGCTTAAACCAGCCAAGAAGTCGGTATTCTCTTCCTTGTTTGGTCAACAAAAATCAAAAGAGAGTGCCATCGGCGAAATTCCTGCCGACTTGCCGAGGGGACTGTATCTGTATGGCGACGTGGGCAGCGGCAAGACTATGCTGATGGATCTGTTTTATGACACCCTCCCGCCCTCAGTCAAGACCAAGACTCGGATACACTTCCACAACTTTATGCAGGATGTGCATAGAAGGTTGCACAAACTGAAGATGGAGCATGGGACTGATGTCGATGCTGTACCGTTCGTCGCTGCGGACATTGCCCAGCAAGGAAATGTTCTGTGCTTTGACGAATTCCAATGCACAGACGTCGCAGATGCCATGATATTGAGAAGGTGAGGCGAGAGAGAGAAAAAAGCGCAGCCCTTTTACGTCCAGCATCGCTAACAGGCTTCCTAGATTAATGGAGTGTCTCATGTCCCATGGTGTGGTATTGGTGACGACCTCTAACCGTCATCCAGATGAACTGTACAAGAACGGTATCCAGAGAGAATCATTTATCCCTGCCATCACTCTCCTCAAGACTCGTCTCCATGTCATCAACCTCGACTCTCCAACAGACTATCGCAAAATTCCTAGGCCACCATCTGATGTGTACCACACACCCCTTGACGGACACGCAAACTCCCACGCAGAGAAGTGGTTCCGCTTCCTTGGTGATGCAGAGAACCCCGAGCCGCATTCAGAGACGCAGTCAGTCTGGGGACGCGATATCCTTGTCCCTCGTGTGAGTGGGCGGTGCGCCTGGTTCACATTTGACGAGCTGATCAGGCAGCCCAAGTCAGCCGCCGACTACCTGGAGTTGGTACGGCATTACGACGCCTTCGTCGTCACTGATGTACCGGGAATGAACATCCAGCAGCGTGATTTAGCCCGCAGATTCATCACGTTCATCGACGCAGTATACGAGGGACACTCCAAGCTTGTCCTCACCACCGAGAAGCCACTCGCGGAACTCTTTGTCACTAAGGATGAGATTGCCGAAAGCCTTCTGAAGCAAAATCCAAAGACTGGCTCTGATGCCATTGAGAAGTCAGCCGAGAATCTCATGGGAGACATCCAGAACAGCGTCGAGAAGCTGAAAGATTCAGATCTCTTTGCGGGTGCAGAGGAAGCGTTTGCCTTCGCTCGAGCACTCAGTCGCCTGAGCCACATGCAGAGCAAGGAATGGGTCGAACGTGGACTGGGTCTGGAGTCCAAGGGCGGAAAGCCAGAGAAAGACAGCTGGACCAAGACCAGGAGCCGCCAGTACGAAGATTCCATGTGATACGATTACCGAGCCTGGCAGTTCGACGATGTGGTATACACCTAGAGAGCGTTTACGACCCTTTTTCCGACGAAAGCATATTAGACCAGCCTTGATATCGATTGAATGAGAAACGGTACTTGTACAATTCAACATGAGTATATACGTGCTATATAATCATATAACTACGAAATTAGAAGAACTTACATGATTTTCAAATAACAGACTGCTCTGTACAGCCTTCTCATCACCCAAGTGACCTATCCTAAAGAAGCCCTGGGAACAGGACGTGAGGGACACTCTTCTTGAAATTTTGCCACTGTTCTCCATATCTGCCAGAACAATATGCATCCAACTCCGGGATCGCGTTCTGGATGAAGTTCCAAACGAAGAAAGAACCGCTGAGCAATCCCGCAGCCAGCCCAGAAGCTGTGACAAAGTAACCCGCCCTCCAGATGGCATATCCACCGTAGTTGATGTGTCTCGCATACTGCCAGAGGCCGCTGGTCATGACCTTGCCTTTATTCTTCGGATCATCCTTGAACTTCTTGCGTTGAATCTCAGACACAAGTTCGGTTACGATTCCAAGCAGGTATAAGATGGGACCGGCAATGTAGGGATAGGGGAGCGATGTCCCAGGGAAGCTCGGCGCAGTTGCTGAGCTGGTAACGCCGGCGAGGAGGAGGCCGGTGCACAAGGTGTTGACGACACTGTTGAATACACTAATGGGGATGGCATTGGATACCGGGAACTCCTCCTTGGACACGAAAACAAGCCAGTAGACCTGCTTAGCCGTGGAACCTGCGGCCATCCCGAGGAGAAGGAGATGGGGAAGCGGGAGGTCCAGCCGGTCAACGAGAGCCAAACCGGTTGAGGTAGACAGACCTAGGGCTCCGACCTGGCCGGGAGACACATAGTTGAGGCCTACGCGGTCGAGGATGGCCGTACCTGCGCCGGAGAGGAGCTGGTACTGGAGCAAGACGTCCAGTGACCGGAGGCCCACGAAAGTGAGGGTACCCGCCGGGCTGGGCTTCTTGATCCCACGGCGGATGAATTCATTCTTCCTCTCTTGTGAAGCCATTTTGGGCGGTAGGACTATCAGGTTTCAACTGATAGAAGAGATGAGATGAGGGGAAAGATTGGATGAGGGGAAGCAACCAACTTGAACATGTCGACCCGTCATGTTAAACTTAGACGAGACTAAACTCTAAGAAAATGGAAGCGTCAAACATAGTGATGTCACAATATCGCAATTCTCCCCACCGTAAAGATGTTTCGCTAGCATAGAGTCAAGCACACATATTCCTTGGTAGTTGGAAACAGGTACATTTTATTGGACGTAAACCGGGGAGGATCACTAAGGTGGCACTTGGCTGTCGCGAATCGATCTCAAGCTTCATGAGTAATCGCATCAATTAGTTGATGGGTATATAAATATACATTTCAACATACATTCATAGATATCCTTCTTTGGTTCAGAGCAACAGCCAAGAATCATATATGTGTTGTTGCATACTCACCTCCCGTTTACGGCTCAACCCTCCCGATACCAGCCGGTACACGCAAAACCTATCCTTTTCAGATGCAATTTCCACAATAATTTGAGAATAAGATAATAAGATAGAAACAATAAACTTTAACTGCTTTATAAGGGGTTTTATATTGTAGTATTTATTTTATTTAGATACTTATCAGTTGGATAGTTCTGCATCAAATTGTTTGTATGGGCCATATTTCATGTCACGCGCCTGCCATCCTTGAGAGTGCTACAGTGGCAAGTAGGTGACATAAGAAATGAGACACTAAATGGAAGAGTGGCTATAAAGAGACTCTCTTCTAATTTGAATCGAGAATACAGTAGTATAAAATGAAAAGTAGTGATACTATATACCGTATTATCTCTGGAGTTTGTAATAATAGTACTCAATAATCTTATAATACCGGCCACAGACTTGAGAATACAAGCTTAATGTTCGAGTATCTCATTTCTCATGTCACCCACTTGAGTGGCTATAGATATATTGGGATCGCCGCCCTGTCTCCCGTGGACGGTTGCGTGCATGGGGCGTGTAGCATCGACGGTAATGGGGACCAATGGCTGCTCCGTTGGCACTCTGAGATCGTTACACTGAGGCCAAAAATTCTCAAGTGAGATCCTACGGTGCCAACACAGCCTAGCAGATGGACCGGCCGGATGCCCCTCAAGGGCGAAGAGTGAGACCAAACACTGCTGCCCGTGCCCCTCGTGCAGTCTTACCTTGTCCCCCTCACATTCTGGAAAAGAAAGAATTGATTTCTTGGTTGGTGAACTATACGCTGTTGGCTTGGGTGGAGTGATTCGGGTGGATGCCCTCAGAAACATGATTCTGATCTGAGAATTCCCAATCAAAATGGAAATTAAATTTACATGCTTACTACATGGTGACATGAACCAGGTGGTGTGGGCTTGGCGCATTCAACCGCAAGTGGTTCACGATTCGAAATGCAACCCTACGGACATGGTTCTCGGTCTGTTCTGGGTGAGCACCGAGGTTCTGGTGATGAGGGTGGGATGGGTTGGGCAAGAGACTAATATTAGAAGCATGTATTAATATTTGTTCATGTCCGAGAAGAGCAGTTCCCCGCCCTGAGTAAGAGTAAGAGAGGACCCCCCTGTCTGCCTATGTCATCCTTCATTGGCTCGTATGAATGAGGACATGCCGAGCTTCGCCCAAAGCAGAACCAATTTTGCCATGATTGGAGAGGTGCCTAGCCAACACTTGCCAAGGGTTTTTTTTCTTGCCCAAAAAAATCAATAGTAATACTAACTAGGTGCTAATGTAATATATGCGTGTGCTTTTGTGTTGGCTGTGGCATGTTGGCGGCGCCTTGAATCGATCAGGGATATCCGATGCTGGGAGTGCCTCAGATGACGTGCAATTGTGCGACAAGCTCATCTCGAGGACGCGGCCTGGTGCATATCGTTAAGACGTCGCTTGTTTTGGAAGCCTTGAAACCATCCTTGGGTTTGTATGCTCCCGTCCTGTTGGTCGCTAGCCAGTCAGGGCCCCAGCAAGAGCATTATCGGGCTGAACGAGGGCGACCAGGGTCTCAGAAAGTCTCGGAGGTGGGCGTGTTCCACAATGGGATGGAGCTGCCTGCCCCGTGTGCTCTGTCATAGTCCCCTGGGATTAGAATTGCTGAATTCTAATGGAAGCTTGCCGGCGCAAGTTGAGGCTTGCGGGTGATGAGAGACCAGCGTTTCAGAGGCCTACTAGCTTCCACCTTAGCCCTAGCCATATTGTTGACAGATCGGACCATCACCCCTAGTGGCCATTGCGAGTCATCCGGTAGTTGGCTTTTCATCATTGCGCAATGAGAATGCGGCGTTCTCGATGTTGATCGCGGTCAGACTCTCAGAAAGCCAAGGGGGATCGCTCTTCTAGGGCTTCCTCCACGAGGCAATTAATTGCAGATGAGGTCATGCATGCTGGGGGGCAAACAAACTAGACACCCATTCCAACCTGTTGGCTTTCATCCTGCAGAGGCTGGTGCGCTGCAGGCATTGCTTTTTTTAAACTCACTGGCTGGTCTCGTAGGCCAAGCTGCTTTCAGACGGTGCTCGCAATTATAGAGCCATAGCGCGATAGCGGACCGGTGAGCTTACGCTCATCCACATTCTCCCTCTGGCCGTCTTGCGGAGTCGCACGGAAGGATTGGTTAATAAGTCAGTAGGCCTCGACTGGGCTGAGTTGACTTGCGATTTAGTTGCATGTCTCACGCCTATAGTGCCATGCGGCTGGCCCAACTTGCGGTGCACGCCATGGAATCGAATTTTCCTCCTCTCCCAGTCGGCCACCAACAGCGGTGATTGCTGGTTGTTGGCTGGCAAAAGGGCGCAGGGCATATCCATCTGCTGCGTCCCGTTCTGGCACTGCTCCGCCTAGCGTGTAGCAGAATATGCTGACAACTCGCCGATCGTGCACAAAGCAGAATGGGCGATGAAGATCAACATATGGCGCTTTTACGGACCACCTGGTATTGAGGGTGCTGATCAGAAGAATCGCACCTTTCTGGCTTCCCTCGCACGAGGCGCTAGAGACTAGGCTCTGCATTAGGCACGAGGGAGCCAGACACATCCAGACGCAGTGGAAGAGCGAGATGGAGACAGCACACTAAGGCTGACGGTCATCTCATGGGTATCCCGGCCCAGGCTGCCTGCCCAGACACCATGAGCTGGGTCTCACCTACCGTAACAGCTAATTTCGGTTGTGGCCCTAGGGGACGGGGGCCAATGGCAGCGCTGCTGTCCCTGGCACCGGGCTCCACCGCGCCGCCAGTAATTGGCAAAATCATCGGTTTAATGTCATTCGGGTTGAACAAGTGTTCACCCCAAGTCCCTTCTTGTGTGCCCTCTTGATGATCACTATCTTGCCAGTTGTGCACATCCACCTGCTCGCACAACTGCCTCCCTGCACGGCCTGATTGGGCCATCGCCCACCGCGCCCCCGGCCTATGCATCCTACAGAGCTGGGGGGGTTGCCTTGCCACTGCTGTAGCTGGTCTTTATGCAAGTGGATTTCAAGGCTGGCCCGCCATCCATGCCCGCACACTTACGTACTCAGCTAGTCGGTAGGTATCTTTTGCTGCCCTGTTGGTCCCTCTTGGGTAAGTTGTCCCCTCTGTGGTCTGTGTCTGTTGGGTCAGCTCTCTGAGGAACCGTTGCAGGCCCCGGTTTTCCTTCGCCCTTTGTTCTGTCCCCTCTGCCTTGACCGGGTTGTATCTCAGCACCTCGTTGCCTCTAATCTACCCGCTCCAACCCTCCTCTCCTTCACCTCTCGCTTGCCTCTTGCACCACTTGAGTTGACCGAGACGGCACCAGGCGCCTGGCTTTTGCGCCATTGATCGAAATCTTCCTGTTGTTTGCGCATCGCGGCACCGGACTGTCCATTCTCTTCTTCCAGGCGCGCGCCTTCTCGACTGCAACGATAAATTAAAATTAAATCGCCAACTTGCACAGCCTTGTACAGCCTCTCATTCATCGAGTCGCTCTTGAACCAACGAATTTCGACTGGTGGCTTGCTTAACCAACACTCTCGACGACTTTCCATTCATTATAAACGTTACAACCCCGACATTCAATTCTGTTCTCCACATATCCCCGTCCCAACGGCTTCGGACATTCCTGTCGACTGAACGCCTTGTTTCGCATTTCTCTGATAAACGCAACTGTTGAAAATAAGATTGGAGGCGTGGCATTTTCTTACAACTGTACATAATTGCACCATCAGGTGGCAAACACCAGCAAAATGGGAGACAGTATACCAGCTCCGACTCGTAAGTCGTGACCACCTCATCTTTCGTCAGTTGGATTTGGAAGGTTCGGGGATACTTGATACTGACTCTCCCTCTTACTAGAAGCCCTCGATGTGAGACAACTTGATACGGCATCCATCCCATTCAACCCTATCATCGCATCAACTGCCACACTTAACCCAGATGGCAACACATTGGCGTTCGACACAGGTTCACCTTCTCTCGCGACATCGACTTCGGTTGCCTCATCAAGCACCACAAGCTCGACGACTTCAGCATCGGCAACCTCAACATCGGACTCATCTTCATCTGGTAGTGACAGTGGCAGTGGTGGGACGAGCGCGGGAGTGAAGGCTGGGATTGCGTTCGGTGTTCTTGGTGGCGTGCTTTTGATCGCTGCTCTGATTTACTTCCTCATCACGCGACGGAAGAACGACAAGAAAAAGAAGGCCAAGAGCCAAAACGCTGAGAAGGGCGAGGAGAAGCACATCCCTCCTGCGCTTCCCAAGAAAGATTCAGTTGCGGGTGACGCACCACAACTCAGCCTTCGACCAATCACCGAGTTCTTCCCTGAGACTTCGCAAACCGACAACATCAAGACCAAAGATATGGCGTTGGCTCCTGCTGCTGCTGCGAATGCCAGCAACAAGCCTTTGCCGAGTGGCGGTAATAAGCCTCTCCCTACCGGCCGTTCTTCACCCCTGCCTAACCCATTTGATCGTCCAGGAACGAGCAATAGCGCCATCTCTGCCAACCCATTCGGTTATGGTGCTGAGCGACCTGTTTCTCCTATGACTGACAGTGGAAGCGCCATCTCTCCCAATCCGTTTGCCAACGACGCTACTGATCGCCCCGTCTCACCCATCACCGAAGCAGACAAGAAGAGCGTCTACTCGAGAGCCCAGAGCCCTGACAGAGCGATTGGCTCAACCAGAAATACTGTTGGATATAGCACCACTCACGGAACCCGCGTTACCTCTACCCATGTGGATATCGAGAATATTGATCTTACCCTCCCGCCACCCTCTCGAGCTGGTGCTTCTAGCCCTACTGGAACTGAGTTTAGCATGTCCGAGTTGGCCCCTGATGCGACACCCCCTCTTACAAATGGTGCGGCTGCTATTGCTGCTGCCGGTGGACCGCCCAATACATCAGTCCACCGCGTCCAGCTCGATTTCAAGCCCACTCTTGAGGATGAATTGGAGCTTCGGGCTGGTGAGCTTGTTCGGTTACTTCATGAATATGATGATGGATGGGTAAGTAAACTTTTGTTTTTAGCGGGTGATGAGGCATAAGCTAACACTCTTCTCTCTTAGGCCCTCTGTATCAAGCTGGATAGGAGCCGGCAAGGAGTGTGCCCTAGGACCTGTCTTTCGACCCGTCCTGTGAAACCTCGCAACGCCCAGGGTGGTCAAAGCCCCAACTTCCCCTTCGCCAGCCCCGCTCGAGATCAGTCGCCGAGGCGACCTATGACTCCAAAGGGCGGCGCTGATGCCAGGCCCGCGTCCCCAAACGTTTGGCCATCTGTGCAGAACAGCGGACCAGGCCCCAGCCGCATGAACCCGGCGAATGAGGGCCGAGGATCTTTGCCCGGGACTGCTCTTTAAGGAAGTCGACGTCTACAAGCATATTGATTAATCGTAATGGGCATTCGATACGACGGGTGCCACCCTTTTGGTATACAACGGACAGGCGTTCGAGGACTTTCGCCTATATTCTTTGATTGGAGAACATGGTTTGCGGAACAGACATTTTTTGTGTTGTTTTGGGTGTTTTATGAGATATCATTCGTTTATGAAAGCCAGCATCTTGCGACCTGCGGCTTGTTTTTCTTCACATCATTCGCTCACATATATATTTATACCTGTACTTCGTGTATCTTACACTTACATTCTTGTCCATATATTGGTTTTTTTATTCACTGCCGAGCAATCTGGCAACGACGATTCCCTGGAAAAATAGGAATGTTCTCGAGTAGGAGTTTGTACTTGCTCTCAACGAGGGGGAGAGGTATGACCAACAAACAGGCTAGCCGCTGATTCAATTTACTCTTATCTCTGCAAAGTCTTCAATCTCTTGACTACTATCGTGATTGTTCCATTGATTTGAATAAATGTAGGGTTAGACGAGGAAAGAAAATATCGATATTGTAACCCACCAAGTAGCCTTGCCCTTAAGAGGCCGGATTACTTTTGGCCATTTTCATGTTTTTTTTTGCTCTTCGCAGACCGCTTTTCGGGATACCTTTGGGGTTATTCTTTCGTTTTGCTACGAACTTGGACTTTGACTTGGCGCCCTGATGGTCCCGATTAATTTGACAGGAACCCGCTGCGTTTCTTGCACAAACGCTACCGCCAACATCAGGACCTGGCCCTTTGTTTGGTGGATTGCCTTTTGTGCCCTCCACCTTTGTGGCCATTTGAGTTCTCTCAGTGGCGTTCTGTTTTCTTTGTGCCTCTACCTGTTTGGCATTGAATCAAACTCTGTGGACTCTGTATCTGATACTACCACAGCGTTTTGAATCACTGACACGACTATATGCAGCCCCCCTATTCGTTTTTTCGTCGCATACAATTCGGAACTCTCAGGGCCGATCCGATGTTTGTTTTGATAAAATGCAGCTAGAAATTTTTAGAGGGATATTGGTATTGGGATGTCTACTGACTTTCATAGTATCCATCCTGGAGACTAGAAAGAGCACCGGGCTTCTCCCCTTAGACATCCTGAGATCATGTTGATCCCTTTGTCCGTGTGTTTAGGATACACCTTTGACTTCCCACCTTTCTCTTCTCATTTGAAAAGACGACTGGTTCAATGAGAACTTCAACCTTATTGTATGTTTCTGAAGGTATCTCGAAATTTTTCTGACCATATTTTTCAATGCCCATATCGGGGATGCCAGGATACAATTGCTATGTGTTTCGCTCCAGTGCCGACCTATTTGCAAGTTTTTGAGCCTCTCCCATCTTGGCCCAGGACGGGTGGGATATTTCGAGGCTTCTACTTTGGGTCTGAGCTTTTGGTTTGTTAGGCTGGCTGAGGGTTCCCTTCCTAAAAACAGCCTCCCTTTTTTTTTTTTTTTTTTTTTTTTTTTGGCTTGGACAAGATCAGTAGCATGTGAAGCTGTAACTTGATGGATTGGATCAGAGGCTTGTACATCTGCTGGTTCGGAGCCTGCTGGTCTAGCAACGCCGGCATTGCGCTGTCACTCTTGCTTGCTCCTTCTCCTGTTTCCTCCAACAACCTCAATGGTCAAGGTAACGCGGACAATGAAATACAAGAGGTTATGGAGAAGCATAGCTTGTTAGTTAGTATAGTTCAAGAATTATTACTAGTTTTCTGAAATCCTTCTTAGATGGCTTTTCAAAGCTTTTTTGGTTATTCAACGCTAAAGGACAATGCTTCCTGATACACAGTGAAGTTTTAGAGGCCCCTTGGGCTTATTGATATTCCCCGACTGTATCTATGCTACTCCTATCAATTATTTGCGAAGGACCGTCGTAAGTCGAAGGATCTACGAAAGGCATAGAAGAACTTGGATGCAGGTTCACCTATACTGGAAACTTGAGAGAGAACAAGGCCCGGCTCTTTGTCACAGCATACACAGTGGGTGTGACTGAGAATGAATGTCAAACTCAGCTCTGTTGGAAGTCATCATGGAGCACCTGCATGTTGGGCTTTATTCTAGATAACTGATTTGAGATCACAGACTCTGGATTTCGGCTCGTGTAGGAAAAAAGAAGAACATCTGTGATTGACCAACTCGTTTAGAAACATAAGACATTCACTAACATGATGATTGCGAACACAACTAACAGAACATACCGTGCTTGTATCTCGTTACCAAAAGTATATAAGACTCGCAGCCCAAGGTTGGTCCCGGTCATTCTGTCAAACTATCTCTGCAGCTATTGAAGCACAAGCTCTACCAAATCGCACCCAAATTCAAAATCATTGGCAGACCCATCACAATGGCTGGCATCATCGTTGGAAGATCAGAGGAGTGGGATTCACCCATTGTGATGAACGAACCGGTATGTGATACTTGATAAGTTCTCGTGGGAGAATATAGGATTCAAAGAGAAATGGGGCTAATTGTGTTGAACAAAGGCATGTCCGGAACGAGACGTGATCATGAGGATGATCAATGACGATAGATTCACCGTCGACCATGCAATTAATGAGATTTGTAGTCTCACTACTGCGGCTTCAACCGAGGATTTTCAAGCCAACACTTCGAGTGCAACTGGAGACACCCACCTATACCGGCACGCTGAACGGGTTATGCTGATTCTTCGGAATCTGGCAGCTGCAGTGCCTCATGCTCGACAATCGAAACTTATTGAATTTATCCTCCACCTCGAGAAATGTACGATACCTGACCCCAACCGTGGCGGGATTGTAGGAGCTGGAAATGATACCTTCTGGACGAATGTGCCTCCATTTTCAGAAAACCTAGTCCGGATTATGGGTAAGGGCTGTGAGTACTGTAATGGAATTGACCAAGATAGATTAACGTTCATCTAGTTCATCCCAATGCCAATGGTGTGTTTGGCCCGGCGGAGGAGAATAGAGCAGCTTTCCTTGCTCAACTATTTGAGAAACGATACGAAGCCTGTCAAACGATCCCGGACTGGACTCTCAGCTTCACCTCTGCCGTTTTCGCTACGGACATGTTTACACCAGAGAAGGGAAATATACGATTGTTCTGCATATGGTTGATCTATGCCAATAGGAAGCTGTGGTTGGATACTCACGGGCTCAATTGGCTGGCTGCCAGACCGGAATGGTGGGAAGGATGGAGGGTGCTCTTACTTGATTGTCAAAGCAACAATGAAGCTTGGTGCTCGGATGAGGATACGCAGATGCTTATGAGGCGTGCTCTGGATTGTATGCACATTACCGAAGATGAGCATTGAGGAGAATCTCAGAATTCTATTACGGGTTTCGGTCAGAGACGTAGAATTTTTTTACTTTAGGAAAGAAGCAATCCTTAGGGAATCTTTTAGCTGTACTAGATATGACAGATTTGGTGACTGAGTTATGTAGGTACAGAGTTCCTTTTCATGAGGAAGGCTGCTAGTTAAAGAGCATGGTGCCTGGGCCTAGGTACCACGACTCTGTTCACTTTTGCTTGGTGTTGAGGTGCCTTGTCCAGACCCAGATCCGTAATCAAGAAGGCCCGGTCCAGCGGGAAGGTGCAGATGGCAAGTAGATGCTGCCCGGGAAACCGGCTTGGAGCACTTAGGCAAGTACCTTCCTGCCTCCGCTTCTTTCTGGTTCATCTCGCCCATCATCTTTCACTTTTTTTCGACTGGGTTGGTTTTCTGAAAATGATATGTAAAGTACCGACATCCTATCTATCCTACCTACTTCCGCAATACACCTACTACTCCCACCTGATGGTCTTCCCTAGCTTCCCACCCAGCACTCCGCCTCTAATTCCCACATAATACCAGATTGGAGCGATAGGATCCCTGATGTTGAATGAAGCTTTACAACTATCTCATGCGTCCTTGACTAGGTATTGTAGAGAGCAAAGCGAAACTTTTCAGTCACACCCTTTCCACCTAACAATGCAATTCTAACTCATCCCGTGGTCAGACGCTCCTCAGCTTCAAAATTCCACGAACAGGCATGTCTGCAGTGATGCTCTTGCTTCTTGTCACCGTATTGATCTCACGTCTCGCCATTGCGGTGGCTGTACCTCTTGAAAGCCCGTTCGACTCGCACGCCAACGGTGCCTCTCCGGCAAAGGGAAATGAGAACACAACCTACTCTTCCAAGATGGCCCCAAGTCACAAGAGTGTGAATAGCCACTCCGCAACGGCCGATATTTCGGGACCCGCAGCCGTTGGATCTATGTTCAATGGCCTTTGCCGCCAAGTCTCACTTGGTGGGCTTGGTCAAATAGGTGCCACCACGTTGAGCGCCCAATGTGTTGACGGGGCAGGACAGTGGTGGGATACAAGCCTGAATTTGAACCGGTGTATGGGAAACGAAGGAGGTAGGCTCATCTACAAAGAACAGTAAGTTTGCCAGCCCTTGTCTAAGGATTTAATCTGACTCTCTTCCACCAGTGGGAACTTTAACAAATCTTGCCGGCTTTGCGTGATGCAACTTCGAGAGAGGGGCGACCCCACATTCAAATGCAAATGTATTGGCACCAAAGGAATATGGACCTTTACTTCAATTCATTTCGGGATTCATTGTTAGTTGAACTCCGAATCGAAGCTTTCTCATCATCGAAGAAGTTATGCTAACACTGGTGCTTTTAGCTGAGGACCAACTTACTGTACGGCCTATTGAAGGACGGTTAGTTTGTGGCGATCGGCTGGGGAGCAAGACTCCGGGTATATGATATATGCCGTGAAATAAGAATCAAACTGATTGGAATCAAGGCTGAAATTGCTGACATCATTGTGGAGGAGGCGAGGAATTGGCCGGAGATCGCCATGCTCTCCATCGAGCTCCTCGTTTCTGGTCGGATGGACAACAAGACATGATATGATCCTGTGAGTAGTAAACGAGATGTCAAAAGAAATTGTTGACGGTTGAAGCCCTGAGCACATATGAGGGGATGCCATGCAAATTTTTTTCTTCACGACGTAAGAACCTGATGATTTAGCAAGATGTATAGAATCCTGGACTGACACCAGGTTTAAAACCTGTCGTCATTTCAATTTTACGTGCTTATATATTCTAGCTAACGAATTTTCCACCGCAGGCACCACACAAATCATCGGACGGTGGAACTGAGATAGGGTCTTGCTCGAGATGTTCCATTGCAAGCTTGGTCAGTTCAGAGTGCCTCAAGCAGCGTCTTTGGCACACTGCGCATACTCTTGATACGCCGGGAGCCATGATGGCGAGACCGGAAGATGTACACGTGGCTAAGTGTTAGAGAAGACGTGTTAGTACTCTCATCTTGGTATTGTAAAGTTGCTGTATTTTGGGGTAGATAGTTAAGTTGAAGGATTGAGAACTTACCAAATGTATGATTGTTACTGCACCGCGCCTCAGCGCCGTCAATTTGCAATCTCGAATCGCAAAAAACACATGCTTGGTTCTCCCTCAGGTCTCTGAAGAAGCTATCCTGAGGGGAAGCGCGATAGAGCGAGGGATCGACGCTGGTGGATGTCGTAACGCCCGGGACCTGAGCGCCGCCACCGTACATCCACTCCCAGAGCTTTCCTTCCGTGGTGAGTTCTCCTTGCGGCGTTTCTTCTTCGGCCTGCTCTTCGGCCTGCTCTTCGGGTTTTCTGGGAGATTTGCTCCGGAACAGGAGCTTGCAGAAACCTCGCCTGTGCGGGTAGTAGTTGCTGTACTGCGATACGAGGGCGGCTGTTGAGCCGTCGCCTGGAGATGATACTAGCCCCCAGAACCTGTATCTGTAAGGGTGGAGATCTGGCTTGGATTCAAAGTCCTCGTATAAGTCGTCTACGTTGTCGTCTTCATCTTCATCGGAGTCGTCGAGCAGGGTTTCAGGGGCGGCCTCCCTAGGTATGAGTCTGGTTGTCTGCTTGGTGATCCTTTCTACCCAAGGTGGGAGCTGACCAAGACTGTCTGGTACATTTGTCTGGTACCAATCCTGGTTGAAGGAGGTAGCAGAGGACCTGACGAGCGTGTAAAATGGAACTGGGGACGGGTTGCAAGCGTCTGTAGGATGCAAGATAAGGTCTATATGAATGTCAATACTTGGGTTCTTCGTTTGATGTGGAAGAAATGCTCCTAACCAGATATGGGGTTTGATATGGACGATTGGGGATATGTCGTGCCGCATTCGGCTGTTGGGTGAAGCTTCACAGGCGGGCTTGGGGAGCTATCGAGATTGACCTGGAACGGTTTTACCTCAAAAGGGGTGCATACCACTCCTCGAGCAACCTTTCGGCCACTTTTGATAATAGGCTTCGGTAAAATTAACATTCAATCAGGTCCTGATCATATGTAGGGGCATAACGCTTACCTTGCTCTCCCACTCAACAAATGCGTCTGTTGAAAGGAACACACACAAACTGGCTGTGTCTGATTCCTCCACCTTTACTTCTGGGTTGGCCCCAGGAGCCCACGAGCGATTGACAGTCACCCGTCGAAAACCTACGTAATTATGTGAAATGTATGATAACGTGGAGACCTGAGATTCTCCTTCTTCTATCCAAGGACTCCAATTGAGAGAGAATGCAGTGCCGTGTGGAACATAATCTGGGTCCATCAAGTCAACAGGCTAAGAGCAAAAGTTAGCATGGTAGAGAAATCCAAGTTAAGCAAGATAAGAACGTACTTGGTGAGGCCCATGGGAATCAAACCTGGCTTCTTCACGAATCTGCCAAACTGGTTGCGTGCCGGACGAGGAAAACGATCTCTCTCCTGAGTTGATTCGCTGAACGCTCATGATGACCACATCATCCTCGTCGGTAGTGTACGCAAGAAGCGCCCTCCCCTGCGAGATCTCCTTGGCCCAAGAAAAGGACGTGATCCGCTCGTCCATTGTCCTGTACGACCCCTCCTGATCCTCTGCAGGTAATGGCAACTCGGCTCCAAGACCCCATAATATCTTGAACAGCTTGGTATTGCGGCTGCCCCGCCCAGATCCCGCCGCCGCACCGGCGTCAATCTCCTCTCCTATCGTGAACACATGGCCGCTCGTCATCAGAGCCGTCAACACAGGGCGCAGGTTGCTCCCCAGCCCGTTGGGAGACCATTCTACCCGCACGACCTGATTCACCGACGCCCCCGAGCCCGTGACCTCCCGGCCGGGGATGTGGGAGACACTCAGCTCCCTGTCCGCCTCTTCCGGGGGCGGGAGGCGGATGCCGTGGAGGGAGCACAGCCTGTTGTTGACGGGCGCGTCCGGGCGGAAGTTGCCCGCCGCCTGGAGGGCGATGGAGAACTGGTGCTGGGGCACGTCGGCCTGCTCCGCCGCCGGCTCGCCGTCCTTGGCCGCCCTGGGGTACTCTGGGAGGAAGATGTAGATGATCTCGTCCGTCGCGACGGCGAGCTCGCCGTCGCATGACCAGGCAAGGGCGCGGTTGGTGAGCGGGCGGCTCTTCAGATTCAGAGTTTTGAGAGGTCGAATCTGAGATGTACATTGTTAGAAGATGGTTGGCGAGAGGACTGGAAAATAAGACACTGGGGTATATAATGCCGTATGGAATTAAGATCATCGCGCAAGTTGGATATACCAATTGCGACGGTGAGTGATGGCTCGCTCACATGGCTGTTCTTACCTGAGATTGGTCCATGTTGCTAGATCGTGTGGAAAGAAGCTCTATCAATTACATTTCATCCATCTCTTGCGATGGGACAGAACTGGGAAGAAAAGGATATTTTCCCTATAACTGAACTTTACAAAAGAAAATTTGAATCATGTTGGCTTCTGTTGCATTTCGTTTGTGTAGTTATATCTTGAAAAGGTCTGAGATAGGTAGAGAATCAAGTCATGAATTTGAGGCTCTCTCAAGTTAGCTGACTAAGGCAATACGGCTGGAGACATCTACCGATGTTTAACGTTATCTTAGATAACTTATGGGTGGTACAAATTTTGCTTATTATTTCTTAAATGGGTATCTATTTCCAATGTTTTTGTGTTGTATATACATATAATTGTTGGTGGTTATGCCGTAGAATGAGATAAGCCACATGCCAAGGATAAGCTGCCTCGAACGCCAACTCGCTGTCATTAAATGCGTATCTGAAGACAAGAGAATCTTTACCTGAACCTGCACTTGTCCGTGGGTAAAGTCAATCATGATGTTGCTTTTACGTCTCAAGGAAAGATCCTAGAGCCCATAGTCCAATACAGCCAGCTAAAGCCGTGGCACCGACCACTTTCTTTGTCCACCAGTTTTCATCGGTCAGAGCTGTTGCGCCCCGAACGTGCTTGACAGGCTCGGTAGGCTGAGATGCTGGCACGCTGGTCGCATTGTTGTATTGGCTGAGTTCATCGGCCTCCTTTTGTCGGAGCATGGCAATAGTTCTACCCAGCTCCAGGAGCTCTTCCTCAAGTGCGCCACTCTCTTTCTGGTCCACCTCGACATTCTGGATGTTTCCGAAGAAATCGGTGATGAGTCGACTTCGGGCTACGTCAGCGCCGCCGGGGAACAAGTCGTATCGCATTCCTGGGTTGGAGTGGATCTTGCTGATATCGTAACTGTCGAACAAGTCGCCAACTGTTTTCTGGCTGCTGAGGTCCTTGACTTGGTTCTCGAGGAATTCCAGGTTGTAGTAGGTGTAGCGATCGATGACGGCGACACCAACGTCATTGTCGGCGTGGTGGGAGTAGGAGGATTGATCGAGCTCCGACGAGCCAGTGGCAATAATATTGGGAGAGTATAGTCGGCTGAACATCGTGTTTGCTTGACAGGTGTCAATCATGAACAGAATTTCATGGTATCTAATGTGTGGAAAGTAATTAGTTGGTAAAAAGAAACCATCACGTAATTTGATCGAGGAAACCTACCTCTTCTTCTCCCACATCTGCTGGAAAGCGTCTGCAAGATCCCAAGCACCAATTTCCTCATTATCCTGGAACTTGAGGAACTCATTGCCCCCGTGACCCGTCATATAAATCAAGATGTTGCTTTTGTCGTCGGTGAGAAGGCGCTTGCTTCTTGGCATCTCGTCGCCAACACGGTCGGTGAGCAGGCGGATAAAGTTCTCGACAGTAACCTCATAGCCACGATAGTCCACCTCGATGTTGTCTCCATATAGGTCCATCGCACGGTTCGAGTTGCTATAGACGGTACCGGGGAAGGCATTGCGGGGGTTGCAAGCCATGTCATCGGGAAGCATGAGGATGATCTGGGAGTCGGGGATGCCAAGCCGCTTTACGGTGCGGTACATGGAGAGCACATTGGAAAGATGTCGGTAATTGAACCAGAAGCGCGATGTTCCTACTAGAACGGCCCAATTGTTGGTATGTTCGGCGACAGAGAGAGGCAGGAACAGTGATGTGGCCAGGACGGCCAGGAGGCGGATGGGTAACAACATGGCGATGGTGGAGGGGTTGCGCCCGGCCGCCTACAGGACGCAGAGGACGAGGCGATAAAAAAGAACGAAGGTATTCCGGCGGTATGAGATTTTGGCTGTGCGCCTTAGGTTACTGGTGGTCGATCAGTATGGGTTTGAGCATGGAGATGGAAACGCATGCGTCCAGGTCGGCGGCGTAGCAATTGAAGGTAAGCAGTGGGCGAGATGACAAATCCTCCACACGCGTCGGTGCTGTGGTGTCTTTCGCTTGGCACTCACTGCATACCATCTCCCTTTCAAAAACACGTTCCGGTACAGCTACAGCTACAGAATCGGTGATGCCATCTTTCATCTATTATTTGTGAGTACATAATTACTATACTCTGATTCTCTGTGCCTACCTATGACGAAGGTCTTCCTTAAACAGTTGGCCATGCACTAGGATGCCGTAGAGAATGGATCCCGCCTCGGAGCTCAGGGGCGACAGAGCCCCTGTTTTAGTAGTGGTTATATGGAGCCATTGGCGCTGGAGTGCGTTGTGCATGCTGTACATGATATTACTATGTATACCATTAATAACTATCTGACCATGCAAGTGGGTGAAATAAAACATGGCCCACCGAGATAGTTCAGCATTGAATTTCAACACAATATCAGAATAAGTAACCTAGTACTGCATACAATATCAAACTGAATATCATAGAATAGTTTATTATTCTCTTATTATTATGTTTAGCTAAAAAAAAGAACAAGGTCCCTGCCTTACGCGGAAAGAGCTTTGGTGTGCCACGTTTTATTTCACCCACTTGCCATGCCATTGATTCCATCGTACGTGTGGTCGGTGCAGAGGGATCATAGGCTTCGCCATCGGTTGGATCTATGTACCTATCAGGGGCCCTGCTCTCACACAAAAATGTGCACCTCACTGTCATGCAGCTTAATTGGCCCTTTGGTACGAGCAATGAATACGAAAGACAAAACGAAGCTCTACTAGCGCAAGGCAGGAAAACGCTGTAGACCTTCATACCGATGGTTTTTGCAAGCTTTATCTCCCTATTCGAGTGCTCCAAACTCCTAATATCCGGTTGCCCTGTATCTATCTAGGGCCCCTCAAGATCATGTGAGAGATTAGTTCCCTATGATTGTTATTAAACTTTCTCCAATCTTGATACGTGGTACGGGCCCATTACGCCAAGGAGCACTTCACTCCCTTCCATTCATAGAGTTTTCGTGTGACTGGACTAAGCGAAGGACTAAAACCCTCACTGCGTGCAGGAAATAATAAATACAACAATGGTTAGACCAAGGCTGATTATTCCTCCTTCGCTTCTATATTGCTAGGAAAAGACTTATCTATTGCAAAATGCGGATTCGAGAGTATGTCCCAAAATTTCATATTTCAATGTTTAAAGGATGCTAACATATGAATAGGGTATTTCATGAGACGCCAGAAGACTCTGTCAATGAGAATAGTCAGGGTTCCCGTCCAAGCGAGCCGAAAGAAGCGTCAAGTACGGAGAAGCCCCCCTTGTACGACTCCCGTCGACCGCATTGCCAGCGTGACAATATCACGCAAAAGCCCGACAGCAGGGAGATAGACATGCCTTCGATACCTAAAACTCATCAAATCAAAGTGTTTTCTGTATCAGATCGGAACTTATTCTATTGCTACGAAGCACAGAAATGGACCGCTTGTCTCACACTTGAGACATGTGATCTATCTCGCCTGATGAAGGAGGGATTCTATTGGGATAAGTCATCCATCGAACCCGAAAGCGGCTTCTTTCTTTTAGACCAAGAGGATCTGCCAGAGAACGAATCTCAATGGGGATGGAAGTGTGCTCGCGTCTATCAGTGCTCTAAAATGAGAGAGGGCATAATCCAGTGGAAAGGACAACTTCGGATCTTAGCTCAGGAATTGAAAACCTTGGCTGAGTTCAACTTGGACATACTCACCGCGGATGCTATTCACTGTATGAAGGTAAGAGACTCTGAGGAACGAATTGTCTACAGATATTGCAGGCCGAAGCCAGAGGAGAGTTGCAATGCCTACTACGATCATATGCCCATGGAGGGTTATTGGCCATGGCCGAAAAAGGATGAGATTCTTTAGCCAGGCAAGTAGGCGTTAGACTATAATACTATAGGGACTGCACAGGCAGTTTAGTCCTAGCCTGCGATAATGAGAGGGCGCCATCCACTAGGACACCTAGGCGATCTTCTGGTGGTTTGTTTTTATTGTGGCTGCTATTTTCGCCGCGGGATTCATCGGATGGCTGCTCAAGAAAGTGAGAGAGCTATCAACACCAACGAGGTTATACCCGGCAATGATTCTTTCGTCGGCATGACTCCTTTCATTAATCTCAAGACATGATCATACCTTTCAATCGCTCAAATCCCAACTGTTCGCTGTGAACCGCGATGATGAAGTTGCTGAGCACTAAAGAAGTTGAGGAGTTGGCCTCAAGCTGGAGGACACGGAAGAGAAAGAGAACAAAGTTTAACAACAATGAACTCCCAGGACCCGGACAACTTAACACGCATTTACATGTAGCCACATACTATGCATGTTCACTGTTCGGCTAGCTGGTTCAGTGGATCCTGCTTTTTATTTGTCATCCAAGACGGCAGTACTTACAAATGTGCCCTTGCATGGGCCTGTCAATTTGCATACCACCTAAGAGGAAATCAAGCCATGGCATGGTAAATCCTTACCACATTGTATCTGTCCCCTTGAAGGATTATGCGTACAGTGTTTTTAAGCTCAATCCCGGCGATCATGACCGTCTTCTTCTGCGGACTTTTAATATCCGATATCGAGCTCTGGGCTCTGGAGATTTCGTGAATAGCCGGAGCCGGAGCCGGAGGAGGGTTGATCACATGCCAGAAAGCTCTGGTCGCGCTCAACGCGGAGCCTAGGCAGGGATCTTCCATTGAAGCTAGTGGGTAGTGAATGGGCTTCTCCAGAACCATGCGCAACACTGCGACCTTGGCCAACGGCATGGCGTACCTTGTGACCATGGATATTTTCAGCCGGGCCAGGCCGCAACCAACTCTGGCGATGCGACAGCACCACACCACATCCAGCGGCACCGAATCCAGAAACCAGGCGCGTTGTACGTGCTGGTTGGCTGGCTGTCTGGGCGTGGTGGCTGAATCCAGGTCGCAAGGTTAAAGGCTTGTCGCCCAGCCATAGGCCAATCCTGCTGCCTGCCCCCTTTCGCAGTCACACTTCCCCGAGAATTGAAGTTCCATTGCATGTCCCTCGTTTTCGGGACGCTGCTGCAAGCTGACGTGCAGGGAGGGGCCGCTATTCTGGTCTCTAATCCCCAAATCAGTCAATGCATGGGGCCAGGCAGGCAGATCACCCACACCACCCGCGCTTCATACTGCTGTGTCTGTACTTGTTCGCCGTCAGATGCTTTATTCACCCCTTAGTTAGCCAGAGTCTTCACCTCACCATTAGGCTGTACGGCTGCCGATGTGTCTGGCACCGGTCGGCTGATTTCGAAACCCCGCCTCGCTCGCCTCCAGTTTTTCGCTTGTCCGATGAATCAGATCCCTGGCAGGGGCTCGTCCGTCCGTGTCTCTCCCCCGACTTGCTTTCGTGACGCAACTTAAATTAGCACCTGGACCTACCTAGTCCTTCCTAGACACTGGACCTTACCAAGCTCCCATAATCAAAACGCCGCCGGACCCCTCCCCTCGATGAACTAACTAGTCAGCCCACTTAGCGCGTCAGTCACTTTTTGATATATTGAGAATCCTCGCTAGCTTGTGACAGGCAACGCACCCAGTCCTCGTTGTCCAGCGCACTTTGCGTCTCCTGAATTGGGACATCTTGCTCCCAACTTGCGACTCCGGGCTCGACAACTGAACCTCGTTGGTTCCCAGCACGTCCTTGCCCTTTCTCTTGGAAAACAGCTGGTTTCCGGCACTTGTACCTGTACCTGTACCAAAACAAGGCTCCACGACCCACTAGCGCGAACCTCCCCCAGGTCTCACCTCACCTCCGTCTATGACCTTCGACTTCACCTTAAGCTTGCGTTTTCCGAGGGGCCCTACTTGAAGGGCCATTGCCATCATGGCTGGGCTTCCCTCCCATATTTTTGTCGTTAGGTTCGTGAGACCGCCTCGGATGTTACCTAGGTCTGATCCATGACCTTGTTACTGACTGTTACCTGCTGGTATTTAGACATGGAAACCGTTTAGATGCTGCCGACAAGAAATGGCATCTCTCGTCCCCGACCCCATACGATCCTCCCCTCACATACAATGGCTTTCAGCAAGCCCGATCAGTTGGCAACCAGATTGCTTCCATACTAGAGCAGGCCAAACAAGACGCGGAATCGCCATCAGCAAACCCAACCGGCCGGCGGAAACGCTTTCGAGTTGTTATCCATAGCTCTCCATTTCTGAGATGTGTTCAGACGTCTGTTGGAATCAGCTCGGGCCTGGCCCAAACTGCCCCAGGTTCTACTCTCAGCCCACCCGAGCTCATCCTGCCCAGGGCACCTCCTCCTGGGAAAACTGATACTCCCTTTCGCTCTTCGATCCTTCGCCTCGACGCCTTTCTTGGCGAATGGCTGTCGCCGGAATATTTCGAGAATATTACTCCGCCGCCAGGCTCGTCTCTCATGATTGGCAGTGCCAAGGCTGACCTGCTGAAGCGGGAAGATTATAGCATATACACCGAAACTCCGATTAACGATCCCCCTCCACAACCCAGGAAATCGTCGCTATGGAGCGCGTCCCCCATTCAAAATTCGGGGAGCGATGAGATATCAGGAAGTTCTTCACCTTCTCAGCCGGTGGATGACAAGAATACCTACAAGCCTCTAAGACCAGCCTATGCAGTTTCCAACGCTGGCCCGATACCCCACGGCTTTGTAGCGCATGCCCGGGACGAGTGCGTATCTGTAGACTATCAATGGGACTCGTCGAGACCTCCCTTGGATTTTGGAGACGGCGGTGATCTTCCCGAAGAGTGGACGACTATGCATAGGCGCTTCCGGGGCGGCTTGAAGAGGATGATTAACTGGTATGCGACTGCCGAGGCTCCTGCTGAGCTGGTCTCGGTGCCAGTCCACTCCACGACGAGCCCAAGCAACGGCGTATCCAATGCATCGAACGAGGATATCGAAACGGTCGTTATAATTGTCTCCCATGGCGCAGGCTGCAATGCTCTCATTGGAGCCATCACCCACCAGCCCGTTCTTATGGATGTGGGAATTGCCTCGATCACGATGGCTGCGCGGAAGCCAGACTTGGACTATCCCAAGCTGCTTCAGGAGACACAAGCTCAGGACCACAGGGGGAAACCTCTCGTTCACATTGACTACATGTATGATATTCGAATTTCCGCAAGCACGGAGCACCTCCTTTCCTCCTCATCAGGTTCACCCCGGGTTGGGAGCATGAATGGTGGCTGGAATAATAACGGTCGTGGCCGTACGTCAACTCTTGGGAGCACCCCTGGCCCAGCTCTTGGAAGCATCACCTTCAACGATTCGTTTTCTGGCGGGGTCGGCGCTGGCCACCGTAGCAGCTCGGCTAGCGCGACCTTTGGTGTGCTGAAAAGACGAGACTCGGGTTCGCAACGACCTGGTGCTCGAAGCTCCTTGGCATCAACTGGGCTCTTCTCCGGTCCCGGAGCAAGCAGTGGAGCCAGCGGGCGACAGTCCCCTGGTGGGGGATTATGGAGACCGGCACCTGCTCCATCCTCGCTTCGGCTCATGGATGATGGGACCAATGACGCAAACCAGGATGACGACGATGATGGGTTTCCCAACTTTGACCAGGTACGCCTCAATTCCAAGTTGGCCTCGTCTCCCCCGCAAGGCGAACCCCGCGATGCATATGAAGCTATTGAGGAAGACGACGAAGCTACCGGGCCAATCTTGGCAGCCCCTATTAAGCTGCAGACTAGTTGGGCCCTTGACCTGGAGCAAGAGAATAAGCATAAACCCATCGAGATGACCAAGTCTCCGCTGGGTGACGGCCTCGGGGACCTCTGGGGCCTGCCGCAACCCCCAGAGGAAGCCGAGCGCCTTCGTGATCTGAGTTTCACCAAGCGGCGCTGGACGGTGAATGAAAAAGCAGTATGAACTTGACACGCAAGCAAGACTTGCATGGGCAGGCTGACGGAGCAGGTTTCGTTCCATCGCGGCACGAAGCTGCATTTGAAATGTCCAGCCAATCTATTCTAATGACGCACTGAATCTTCACGTTTTTTACACATCAAAGTTATGGATGTAGCATCAGAGCACGGAAAGCGTATGTATTAAAAGGGAGATTGAAGCAGCCCCTGCATTAGAACGGTTGATTTAGCAGGAAAGGGACGGTTCAAAAATCAGATACCCAGTTACGTTAATCGCGGGTATACCTATGCATGTATTCTTTTTTATTTTATTTTTAACATCCTTTCGTCTTATGGCTCTATGACTATCCTTCCATGAGAATACCCAGCTTCGACTCGTCTTTCAGATACGGGTATGTTTTCCCCGTTTCCTATATGAACTTATGAAACATTGTCTTGTGTAAACATGTATGTATGAATGATTTGAACAAAGCTGATGACGGAGACCCTGCGGTTGTAATGAACTGCTATCAGTGAAGGAATGCCAAACCTAACCCAACCCAACCCAAACGATGTTCCCACCCCCCTGAATTGGTCTATATCTCCGAAAATTCTATCCCATTGTGCTTCCCTCCCCTTCTGCTGCGTAGTCTCATGAGTCTATGTAGGAGTCGTTGCCTCGTTCATGTGGTTTGTACACCACCACACCACACCACACCACACCCTTCTCTCTTTCTCTCTCTCGTGTTTCGATGCCTCAGCCTCACTTCTTGAGCTCACCAAACGACTTGTTCATGAACTGGTGCGCCAGCTCCACGCCCAGGAAGGTAGCCGCGTTGGCGGGCACGGCTCTCGTGAGGGCGGGCCCAAATCCCGGGAAGAAGGCCTTGAAACCCCCCTTGCCGTACAGCTCGCGGACGACCCCGCCGATGCTCACGTTCCCCTCTGCCGTCTGCAGGCGCGACTTGACCGTGTCGACAGGGAAGACGGGTATCCACATGGCCACGCCCGCGGCGG